GCGCCGAGGAGCGGTGCTACTGGAGCAACCCAGCAGCACCCCAGCTGCTCTGCCCCAGACGTCCCCAAGTCAGCCGTTGCTGAAACTGACCAGCGCTGACTACAGGAAGCCCGAGGCACAGTTGCTCTGCCCCGGGCTTCCTGGAATCAGCTGCTGATCAGTTTCAGCAGCAGCTGACTTGGGGTTCTTAAGTTGAATCTGTATGTAAGTCAGAACTGGCGGTCAGTTTCAGCAGCGGCTGAATCTGTTCCGACTTACATACAGATTCAACTTAAGAACAAACCTACAGTCCCTATCTTGTACGTAACCCGGGGACTGCCTGTATCTCTAGAAGAGCCTGAAATTATGTAACCCTTTTTGAGCCCGTCAGTGTAGTGTCTAAAGAAAGGAGCACTAAAGAGTTGGGATGTGGTTTTCATTTCTCTCTTCCTTTGACTTCAGCTGAAGTTCTGAGCGGTTGGCACCTCTGCAAATCAGCCCCTCTTCCTTTTTGACCCAAATTGGATCTTGATTTTAAGTGAGATGAATTTTCTTCTTCTGATAATTCTGTGCATCTGAAGTGATTACAGCTCCACATGAGTGCTCTTTTCAGCACATTTCTGAATGCCTTTGCTTCCTGTTTCAAAGATTCCTTCAAGTCTTGTGATGCTGAAGGGAAAAATCTCCTAGTTAGTAGAAACTGCCACTTCTTCCCCCTGAGATAGGGACTAAAACTTGTATTTTTAGAAAACAAACACAGGGAATCGATCCAAAACCTTTTGTTCACAAGAGGAAGCCAGCTTGGGCAGCATCCTAACCATCAGGAGTCAAAGCCAGTGAGCTGTGTGGTTTGGAGACAGGAGGGTAGGAAATGGAGGGTTAATGACGAATTTTTGTGTTGGTTTTAATCTCTCTAAAAATAGACACCACCCTCTTTTTCAAATTGGCATCATGTCATACTTGATTCATTTCCTCTCCCAAACTCAGCTCCTTCTTGAATATTCCTCCGTGCTCTTCAGGAGTCTTTGCCTGTCTTCGTTATGGTGCTTGTATCATAATAACTTCTTAAAACTCACCAAATAGAGGGCCAGATCCGGAGAGGTGCTGTAGTATCAGCAACTCTTTGATTTCTCACTTCTGGGAACTATGACTGCTCCTTAGTTTTCATGATGAGAATAGTAACTAGCATCCTAGTCCAGCTGTGATAGCACACTGTGTACCAGAATTGTGAAGACTGTGTTACCGTGTTAATTATAAGATAGTGGTTTTCAGCCTATGGTCTGGGGGTCCACAGGCTAAGATTTTCAAAAGGATTCACGCCTACATTTGAAATATTTTAGGGATCTACAAACGAAAAAAAATTGAAAATCACTTTTGTAAGACTAAAAGATCACTTCTGGAATTTTGCTGATGTGGAGCTCTGCCCAGTAGGTTTCCTTGGAGACTCCTAAGACAGGCTAGCTGAAGAAAATGCAGAGAAAAAAATTCTCTCTGTTGTCTTTCTCCAGGAGCCCAAGACAAACCCTACGGTAGGAACCAGAGCCTCTTCCTTTCTTATCCAACCTCCAGATTGAGTTGAAAAAGATCTATCTCTTGCTGAAGGAAAA